GTTAAGGCGCTTCCACCCGAGCTATCAGATGTGCCCCCTCAGGCATTCGACTGCCAGCTTGAAGGTTTTGATCTTTCCAAGGGTTTCTGGGCTGAAGAGGCAGATGATGTGTTCTTTGAGCTAGTTAATTACAAGCTTTTAAATATCACGGTTGAGAAAATGGGGAACTCTGAAATGCCACACTTCGTCAAGCTGGATCGCAATGGTGCTGTCATCAATGATACCATGAGAAGCTATTGGAAAAGTCAAAGTCCTGAAACACCATCTGTTGAACTCTTAAGTGGAGCAAAACTGGCGCCCACCGACGTCTCTGTGGCTGCTGAAGTTAATATTGACTCAGTAGTTATCCATGATTCAGACACTTACTATGTTGATAATGAAACCTGCACATCAGTTCTCGAAATGCAACATTCTGATCAAGAGCAGCTTGATTTACTGACAAGTACAAAAGTTGGAAATGAAGCACAGGATGACCCACTCGAGATGATTACTGAAAATGTTGCCTCACCTGATACAGTGAGTATAGTGCCCTCTGATGCACAAGAGGACCTTGAAACCATATGTGCCATGGAAGATGAACCAGTTTCAGCTTTCACAAGTCCATCAGACACAACAAACCAGCATGCTTCTGCTAAAGAGACAGACCCAGCACCCCTTCCTGTAGTTTTGCTACAGCACTCTGAGGGAGCTACATCTACTATTTCCTCAGAGAATATAGATAGCTTCTTGATGAATAACACAGATTCTCAATTATGCATTGTTGAGGGACCAGAGTCACCATCATTTGAGATCATTAAATCAGGTAAGCTTGAATGTGAATCTTTTAGAGATACAATATCCACTGTATGCAAGTGGCCTTCTTTCCTTTTAATAATTTATTTATATTTTTTAAAGACTTGGGCTATTTAAGGCGAGCAACAGAAAAGAAGCCCGTTGGGTCAGAATGTGTGATATGGTCTCATGTAAGAAGAAATTGGTGCAGAGCACGAATTTTGAAAATTTCTGAAGATGCTGCATTGGCGAGTATTTATTTCTCTTCTCATTCACACTTTTTTTTAAAGAGCTGCCTTTGTTGTTTTTCTGGTTTTGTTTTGTCTAACTTAAGATTCATCTTCAGACTTGTTTTTTTTTTTTTTTTTTCAGGTGTTGCTTGTGGAACATGATTTTGAGGTGGTAGTAGATCCTCTCAATATCTTTGAAATTCTGCCAGACAAGCCATTACAGGTGTGGAATGCTGGAGTCTATTTTTGTGTTTCTAATCAGAAAGCATTTTTTACTCATCCAGTGTTTTAATTGCAGACTTCATGCATTGAAGCTGCAGTTCGAAGTGGTAAGTTTTGTACTTTGTTATATTTTAAGAAAAAATACAATACTACTTTAATGCCTTAGAATGATTTTTTAAATTCTCTTTCCTTCATGTCTGATAATTTTTTTCACCTGAAATAAACCATTTAAGATCCTTAAACACAAAATGTTTTGTAGATGAAGTAAACAGGGAGAAACATACTGCATTGAAGATAAGTCCTTCAAAGGTAAATGGGTGTTTAACTGTGCTACATAGAATGTTTACAGCAGTTGAGAATAGAACATGGACTGTAACAACCAATTCTACCTCTTATTACACCAGGTGGAAGATACAGAATATGGAACTGTTGTCACTTCAGAGTCTGAAGAACCAAATGGTAAGTGTTTTTATACATTTGCAAAATTACTGCATCGTGTAATGCTAAGGCAGAGGAAAAAATGTATACACATTAAAATATACTATGGTGTTATTAATTGGTGGCAAAGTAGTATGTAAGTCATAAGTGCAAAGTAGTTCAAAATTGCATTTTTAATATGTCAAGGTGAAGAAACACACATTGACCAAATGGATCCAGTTGATGAACTAGCAGACCAGGTACAGTGTGATGCCGTTGTACCAATCAAAAGCAAATACAGTTGACCGATAGTAATCTGATAGCAGTGTCTCAACATGTGTTCACTTGCAGCCTCAAGCCACGGGGTGTGTATCCTGCTCCACTGTTTTGGTTGAAAATTCTGAGGGTAAGTGAGCTTACTTGATTTACCTACTTATTAAAAAGTATTGGGACCTCAATTACAAATAGTGCATTGTACACTATTAATGTACTATGATTTGTACTGTATAATGTAGGGATGTAACTATTCACTCAACTCACGATTCGATTTTTTTTTTACAAAATGAGATTTAAGACTATTTATAAATTAAATGTGTCCTTTTATTTTTGCTTGGACAAAAATGCTGCACGTTTTTTGTGAAATTGAAATATAACACTATAATAATATACTAATACAGCACTTGCATTTCTCTTTTGTTGGTTTTGATTGCTTCTATTGTCCTCATTTGAAAGTCGCTTTGGATAAAAGCGTCTGCTAAATAACAAAATTTAAATATAGGCTAATGTAAATGTAAATAACAAAACTAAATTGAAATTTTAAAACAAGCCCCAAATCAAATAAGTAACACAAATAAAAGAAATCTCTTCATATAAACAAAATACGGCTTTGTCTGTGCTCTTTCCATTTAAAATTAGAAGCAACCACTGCATTTTAATCTTGATCCAAACGAAGATGCTGCATACATGCAACATGAACAGTTTTTAATCTAAATTAGGTTATATAATTTCGAAATTTGAAGCAAAAACAGAATGATTTGACTTCAGTTTTGTGAAACTATACATAAAAAATACTTGCATGAAACTGAACTTGAATGAGACCCAGATCCATTCTCTGCAAGCAGGTGGCGCTTAAGGGGTTCCTTGGTTTCTGCTGTAAACGAAGCAGCACTGCACTTATGAACTTTAATATGCATTATACAGAGGCAAGAAGAAAAGAAAAAATACCATCTAAACTTTTCTAAAGACAGTAAGTTCCCCTCAGACATGCATTCATATAAACTACCCCTAATTGAATCGCGATTTGTTTGGCATCTCAACCGATTTGAATCATCACATATTTGAATCGATTTTCAACCGGCTCTCGGTTAATCGTTACATCCCTAGTATAATGTCTGTTTGCATTAAATGATCTTCAGTCTATTGAATCTGCATTTGAATGAATATCTATGTTCAGACAGAATGAAATATCAAGTCCATGTGAAAAGTTTTGCATACATAATGTGCGATGGGCTAGACTTATTCATTCATTAACCAAGTTTGCACGCACATGATCTTTCAAACAAAACAGAAGTGGGGGGGGAAAAAAAACATCTGTCCTGCTTTATCTTTGACTTCAGTGCAAATGATAGGGCTGTGTTTTTTGTTTTAGTTGTAGATGTGTCAGGGGAAGGTGCACAAGTGCATGATCTCGTTGAAGTACTTGGTGTAAGTACACAAATGTGACATAAGACTGTTGAGGTTTAAAACTACTTAAATCTTTTTAACCCACTCATCTTCAATTTATTTGCACTCCAGCCTGAACAGGTAGAAAGCAAGGAGCCCCAAGAGGATTTAAATACTTCAGCTGGAGAGGAAAGAGGTTACTCATCATACTTTATGGAGATATAAACTCCAAATAAACTTCATGAAAGCGTAAACTCCAATAAACTTCATGAAAGAGTAGTTGATTGTGCTATTTTATTGTAATTTGTAAAATATGACTGTTTAGAAGATGCTGCCAAGATGAGTACTGGAGTGGATTTACTGATGGATTTCCTGGCTGTGGCTCCCCATGATAAGGTGTTTCGTCTTTTCTCTCCTTTATCTTGTTAAAGACCTACACCACCCAGTGGCTGAAAATATATTCCTCTCATATCATGTTTTTGCCAAATACAGGATGTGTGTGAGACTGAGCTTGAAACGGATGACTTGCTTGAGGAGTTTAATAGTATGTCATGTTTGCATTCCATGCATTCCAATGAGTCTTTCAATTTTAACAAATATAGAATGGATGTTTAGCATCTATTAATTGTATTTATTTATTTTTATTAGATATACCTGAAGATCTTATTGTTCTTACCAGTGATGGAACGGAATCTGACACTGCATCTGATGGCACGGTATTATAAGCTTACTGTTAAATTACTCTATTCATTAACCACAAACATGTGAGGTGTTTATTGGTATTTATTGTCTGACTTTGAATACTTCAGCTTCAGGGAGATACAATTACTGCGGAAATCCATACTGATGCTGAAGAATCATCATGCAAGTCATTTAAGTGTGAATATAAATTGAAAAAGCATTAACATTCCCACTGTTTTTATTTGAAATATTAATTTCTGTTTGAAGTGCGAACTAATACAGCAGTGTGCTTCACAGGCGTACAAGAAAAGTCAGATGCATCTGATTTCACCAATGCAGAGGATTTACGTGTCACTCATCTGACCCTGAAGGTCGAGGACGCACCTGACGATGATGTAATTTTTGTTGGTGTTTTGCAAGAATCCCAGGCAGAAGTATATGAGCCGGAGAGTGAAAATGAAAAACAGAAGTTTGACTAATGTAAACATTGTAAACCTACATCAACCAAAAAGATGGTTGATGTATCCAAAGAGGCAAGTTACTTATGTAATGTGCTTCTTTTTTTTTTTTTTGTTAATCACATTAAAATTGCCAGCAGCTTGATGGTATTAAGTTGTTTTGTCTGCCTAAAACCATAAACAGTATACTAGCAACAATAAGCACTTCTGCTTATTCATAGTGGAGCTGTAATTTTGTTTCCTCCTATTACTATTCAATGGTTGCTCATTGCAGATGAAGGCTGTTTTGTTTGTTTTTCAGTTATTACACAGCCTTTCATTGTATTCCTTGCATTTTGAAACAATGTTTCTAAATTGTACTTCATCCAGGGATTTTGTTGTTTGTTCAGATGCTCTTAAATGTTTACATTTGTGGTGAAAAAGCAATTTGCTGCATTTTGTGGAAACTCGTTGAATTTTTCTTTAATAAATATGCAACTTTCGTGTAGCACTTGTATGAACATTTCTTAACAGTATGTTATTCAGACTTTGTATGTGGGGAAAAAGAAAAAGAAATACCAAAGGTGAGATATTCTGTTTAATAAACAAAATCCCATATACATATAAAGAACTTGTGCATTTTTGTGGCTTTGCTGGAAACCATCGAAATATTGAAATCCCACGTGATAGTTTTTTTTTTAACTGACCAGAAATTAGTAGTGTAAAATCGGATTATATTTTCTTACAAATCAGGAAATCGCAGGTTTTAGTTACAGATCCAGAGAGAACTATGAGGTTACTTTCTAGGTGTTAAAATCATTAGGGTGAAACAAGCAAGCTATGCCAACGATATTTCACAGTATGGTATTTCATATTTTCAAATGGTTGTCAACAGACCCCTTTTAACATCAGTCACAGAATTCATTGAACACACTGCATTGATATAAAAACCCACTTTATATAACTAAAAACATGAAGGCACACAACAAGGACGGTGAAGTGTTTAAAAAAGTTAAAGTCTATTGCACTATTGCAATGGTACCTTTCATAAGTCATCCTGTATAGAGTAGTTTTGCCGTGTTTAAAAAAAAAAAAATACGAAATGTGATTTACATCAGATCACCATCTAATCCATAGTGCAAATTCAATCGTACTCCTACACAGCAGTCAAAATTTAGTCTTTTATGAAATTTCAAAAACAGATTTTGCATAGTGATAGATTGGCCCTTTCTCAAAGGTGTGTAACCTTCTGACTCTTATTTGTTACATGTGCAAGGTTACAAAATCATTGTACGGATACACATCCATATACATTGTATTCATGTTACTCAACTAAATAGATGACTGTGGGATAGTAATATTGGTTCCTGGAATCAAGTTGTCATCTTTTCCATCAATTAAAGCATCCCACTGATTGAAGTCTATGTCCATATCTGGAAAATAAAGAGATACGTTAGATATTGCAAACAAGTTTACAGTATTACAAACACTACTGATGTAATTTTTTTGGGGAAAAAGTCAAGTTTAACAAGACTGCATTGATTTGATCAAAACAGTACAACAGTAATATTGTGATTTTTTAAAGACGATTTTAAATAACTTCTATTTCTATTTTTCTATTGAATTTTCAGCAGCCATTACTAGTCTTCAGGGTCACATGATCCTTCAGAAATCACTCTAATATGCTGATATGGTGCTCAAGAAACATTTATTCTTATCAATGTATGTTGAAAACAGTTGCCTAATCTTTTTGTGGAAACTGATGTTTTTTTCAGGATTCTTTGATGAAAGTTCAAAAGAACAGCATTTTTTAAATATAATTTTCTGTAACATCTTAACTGTATTTAACATTTGATGAATTAGATGCATCCTTGCTGAATAAACGTATTAAAACTTACTGACCCCAAACTTTTTAAATGTAGTGTAATACAAAAAAGAAAAAATGTTTTTAGAAAGTGAGCTGAGGCACACAAACCCAAAAAGGTAAATAACTCACTTAAGTGGCGTTGAAGAAAAGCCAAAGTTGCTTTGTTGGAAAGATCCAAGGCTATGTGTGGATCAATCTCTCCTTTTAGCTTCATGAGCCTTCCAATCCAGTTCCCAGTAAGAAATGTGAAATCTGGGAAGCTCTGATGGACTGTCCCTCTGCCAAAACATAGTACAATTAAATGAAGCACATTTTTCAGACTGAACTACAACTTGACTTGGAAAAAAAAAAAAAAAAATTACTGACTTGATGGTTATCATTTTTCTAGGAAAGATGGCAGAGTCCAGCTTCTTCATACGGATGATATTCCCAATCCACTGGAATTTTTCAGAGTTAATAAAAAAGATTGGCTGCTTCACTCCAGGGAAGATCTCCTCGTCCAGAGGAAACATCCAGGTGTCCAGTGCCACACCACACCTAGGAATCAACATTGATGCCAGGATGAATATTTTGTTTTTGAATTTCTTCATGGAGCTACCAACATGCTACTGTAATTAGTTTACCAAGTAAATGTGTCTTTCTTGGCTAGTTTAATTTGTTCCTGAAAAATCACCTCTGAATTTAATGCTAATGTTTTTTTATGAAATTATTCTCTCTGTGATGCCATTTAGAGTGCATGACAAGATTTCATGTAGCATGACAGCATTTATGAAAATGAATCTAAAAAAGAAAAACAGGAAACTTGCAGAGGTTTTCACAGACACCAGTGTGAAAAAAAATAAATAAAGGCCAACTGCACAAACTGAGAACATCGTTTCTCAGACAGCCTGATAAATGTTTATTATCTACCCACAAGATCTTGTAACACATTGCCTGTTATGATATGTACAAGTCTGGAACATTCTAGTCAGCTCAAAACATACTTGAATTTGACGTCCTTGCACAAACATTCGATCACCGTCGCGCCTCCAAAGGAATGTCCCATAATCGCTATTCTACACAAGTCCATGGAGTTCTGAAATGCAAGAAGGCTCATTGTCATCAGCACTCCAGAATTGCAGAATATGATTGAGCAGTTCTCAATTTTAACTAAACTCTGAGTTTAAACGAACTGTAATATTCACCTCCATTGTTGACAAATCAAAGTCACACTGTAAGACGTTCTCTACAGACTTTCCTGAATTGATGTCAAAGAGAATATCCAAGGCTCTGATGCATTCATCTGCTCTTTGCTTTACCTGAGACGTAAAAAAAAATGTATTCATTTGCATGGAACACAGACAGTTCCTTCAATGGTGCATTAGCCAGGACCACAATTCATTTCAGGAATTATGCACAAAAAAAAATGTACTGTCACTAACACTAATTACATAAAAGCATAATGATTATTGGTGGGTTTTCCATGCAAAACAACGCAACACAAACATTTTTGGCTGCAAATATCACAAAAGGGCCTGCAAATTCTAATGTGACTGACAAGCATATCTGATATTTTGGTTATCAGATGAGTAACAAGAAAGGTGATGTTCTCACTTGCTTGTTTCTTAGAGGAAACTCATTCTCGCCTGGTTTCAACGGCCTGTAGTACATCCAAACCTCCTCCAGATTATCAGACAGAGGCTTGGCTATGTCACATGATGGATGCTTTTTTGTTCCTGGCTCAGCATGTTCTCTGAAGTAGAAAGTTGCAGAAGCAGATTCATCCCTGAAATTAAAAAGTTTACATTTTAGTGAAAGAAAAATACACCAGGCAAAATACAACACATAACCATAAGTGATCTTGAGATTTTTAACAAGAGTGAGGATATTTAATGATATATAGAAGCAAAATCAAATTTCTAGTTAATGGACCCTTTTCACAGACTGTGATGACGCACTTCCAAATCGTAAATTTACCAACGTTTATCTTTTTTTTTTTTTTATATGTACATTTATAACACTATACTTTCTCTGTTTTCTTACCCGAGCATTAAATGACATAAAACTAGTTAACACTGATGCAAGAGTGTTTCAAATACAAAGATTGAGGAAGAGACAGCAAATTTGACATCTTTCTCTCTTTTGATCAATGTAATCAATCTCTCAATATTTTTTTCCTTTTTTTGGAAAGTCATTGAAACACTATTGTGGATTTTTTTCTTTTGCTATTGGGGCAAATCAGATTGCAAAAAATATATCTGTTGTAGTTTCCATTCACCACTACAGAAGTTTACTCAACTATGACAATTTGCGCTTCTGAGATCTAGTAATTAGATAAAAAATGTGTTAACTTAGTTATAAATTAGTTATATAAAAAAAATTGTGTTCCCTACAATTGCAACACTATGAAGTATTTCCATTACTACATTTAGATTTAAAGGGGTCATGCACTGAGAAATCAAAATTTTTGATCTTTTGACACGAGGTCATTGTACTATAAAAACATCCTGTAAGTTCAGTAACATCCTGAACTCAAACTTTCTCATTAGTCTAAAAACAGCTCATATTGAAGCCAGTCTGCCAAAACTATAGATAGTGGAATGTGTCACTTTATGACATAATAGTGTGGCTATATTGGATCCGACAGTAATGTCGCACCACACAACTGTGAGTAACTGTTTTATTATGTGGTCACTATTGCTTTGTCTGTTATTACAGATTGTTTGATATACTGTATAGTATTTGTGCGTTTTTAACCTTAATCACAGCAGCGTTACACAACTGTTAGCCAATCATAGCAGTGGGCGTTTACTTCCGAGTCTACAATCTGCCCTACCTATTCAAACAGAGCGTTCTGATGAGAGGGTCAAAACAGGACAGAAAATAGCCTATTACTTCTAAATTATGATGTTATTTTATATAAAAATCTTGATAACATTATAAGTGGACCTCAGAGAACAGTACAAAATAAGTAAAAAAGGCAGTTCATGACCCCTTTAATTATTTAACGCTAGTTGAATTCAGACCCTAGATTTTTAACCTGAAAGGCAGTGTTTCACCAACCATGCTGTCCTGTGTTATGTGTCAGTCCACCGGTAAACACTGTTAAGAATGTGATGACCTAGTTTATACCATTGTTTGCATTCTTCTCACACACTTTGACTATTACAACATACAAAAACTTTCACTGGTGCGGGGCAAGGAGTGTTACTGAACAGCAATTGTACAACAATCGTGTCAGTTTGTGGTAAGCAGCTATCTCTTATCTCAACGTACTGGTCCAGTTGCAAAGAAAAAAAAAGCTTTTGCAGCTAATAAATTCCAACTGAAAGCAAGCACCTGTGCTCCACAGCTGCAACAATGAAGCCCTGTGAAGCCAGTTCAACACATATGGCTGAATATAATGTCCTGAAAATACAACACACAAAAACACAGTGGCATTGTAAAACATTGAATCAAGGATTGACATCATGTTTGCTCTTGAATCTTTAAATCAAACACACCTGAAAGCTCCCAGTCCATGAGAGAAAATAATAACAGGATATTTCCCATCTGGTTTAAACGACGCATTCCAGGCTGCTGGGATTTTACAAGACCCTAATGCAAACAAACATACATAAATGTCCATAGCATGACAACAGCGGCGATGTTTTAACCACATCTCAAAGTGACAGATATGCTGAGGAAGTGGCATGGTTCGCTGACATTTTCAAAGGGCTCAGCACTCAACAGCCAAAAATGCTTACCAAAGAGGTAGTTAAAAATTCTTTCACTCAGTGCTCTGTTCATCTTCATAAAGTCTGCGAGGCCATTGAAATACTCCCTGCACGGGACCCAATCTGGCAGCTGAGGATTCTCAGATGCTTGGCATGGATAGTAGAGTCTCAAGAACGTCCCCTTGATGAAATATACATACATTTTTTAAACCTGCTGATGACACAGACAATTCAAGTACACAGAATTCAAGCGCACACTTACATGGACTGTGCGGCCCACCATCAAGTCTGTGCATCCCACTTGGTGGGGTCCTTTTCCTGGCGGGATACTCAAAGTGTTGTTGTGCCCGCTTGAATTACCCATTGTGAAAACAGCCAACCAGTTCCACTTAGGAATAAACGTTAAACCTGAAAAACAAGATATCCATACCGTCACAAGAGTTCATGACAGAGCATGACATGACATTTTTAAACAAGCGAACGTTAGTTGACTCTCTCAGCTGACACAGCTCTTGGTGCCTGACAACTTTTCGTTAACTCAGTGCTTGTTAATAACAACATTTTGGTTTATTAGTCATATGAATACTGCCTATTAGAGAAGTAGCTCATGTGAGCTCACTGTAGGCCTGTCGCAATAATCAATATATTGACTTATCGCGCAATATATGTATATGACTATATATATATATATATATATATATATATGATGTAAATATATGAAACGTAATATAACTATTTATAAGCACTATTTGTCTAATTATTATTTATTTGCTTCAGCCTCTTCTCTTACCCTGCTGGACCAATGCGCTTTTGAAAACATAAACATTTGTGGAATGATACAGAGTTCCACTGACGATGCTGATTGGGTGCATCTTAAAAGCTCTCCTGGCTCTGAGGACCATACACTCAGTGGACAATGCAGAGGTTACAAATCTCAATCACCTGAAAAGTACCTTTCTCAAAGTGGCTGCAGTTTGACCAATTTAATCACATTTTTGCCTTGTGATTTTTAGATTTAGGATATACTATGCACTTTGACACCTCCACTGGAAATGCAGAGCAGTCTGGTCTCCTTGAGTCCCGCATCCTGTATCCAAAGAGGAAGATGCAATGCCTCCAATTTTTCTACAAAATGACAGGAAGTGTAAAGGACAGGCTAGTAATTTGGGAAAAGATGGATGATGGAACAGGAACCGTGCGTAAATTAAAGAAACTCCACACGGTCTGGGGTAACAGCTTTTCTTTTTTGAACTACTAGTAGCCTACAATCTTAAAAATAAGAGTTCATTATGGGCATCTGTGGTTCCATGAAGAACCTTTAACACCCATGGAACCTTTACATTGGTTCTTTATAGTGAAAAAAAAGATTCTTTAAAAAGTCCCCCCCCCCCCCCAAAAGCTGCGTCTAAAAATGCATACTGAATAGTAGGTAGGTACTACATTTAGTTTAAATATAGTAAATAGTAAGCCATCTGAATTCGCCTACTGATTTATAAATACTGTGAATTTGGACATACTACTCAGCCACAACTTCTGTTTTTCACTTACTATATAGTATAACAATTTTATTTTAAGAACTGTTAAGAACCGAAAGGTTCTTTGGGGAACCAGAAATGACTCTTCTTTGGCATTGCTGTGAAAACCCTCCTTTGGTACCTTTATTATTAATAGTGTATACTGCAGGAAAGCTTTAAGATATGATACAAGCGAGATTGTAAAATAATTTTAAATCAACGTTCAATGTCCACTTAATCTTTTATTTATTGTGTAGCCGTATAATCAAAACAACATGATCCCTTATGTAATTGCTTATCATAAAATGAATGTGGTGACAACAAAAGGTTTTTCCTCCCCCAGCTGATGAAGACAAAACATGGAAGATTGCTCATGTGCCTATGCAAATAGGGGCAAAGTTCCGCTTTGCATTCCAGGGAGTAAGAGGAGACCCCGCTAACTCTGGAGGAGGCATATTCATCGATGACATCAGCCTGACAGAGACGCACTGCCCTGCCGCTGTCTGGCGCATCCAGAACTTCTCGAGCATCCTGGAAACAGCCGACTACAACACCGTGCTGAACAGCCCTCGTTTCTATAGCCCTGAGGGTTATGGTTTTGGCGTTCAAGTACGACCACTGTCTGGTTACTCTGATTACACGGGCCACTATACTGGTCTGTACTTCCATCTGGCCAGTGGTGACAATGACATTGTGATGCAGTGGCCTGCTGTGAACCGCCAGGCCACAATAGTGGTAATGGACCAGGATCCAGACATTAAGCTGAGGATGTCCTCTGCTCGTAGCCTCACCACTGACATGAGCACAGGTGATTTGTATTGTGAGTGTGACTAAAGTTAAAAACAAACAAACAAACAAAAACATAATTTTTTTGTCTTCCTGTTCCCTAGTCAATGGAGACAAACTAATATGGGACAATCCAAGAACTGTTGGGACCTATGACCCAAGTTGCCAGTGTTATCGAGGAGATTCAGTGGGATGGAGGAGTTTCATAAAACACTACGACTTGCGCAGACGGAATTACCTGAAAAATGATGACCTCATTATCTTTGTTGACTTTGAGGGTACATTACACTGACTGTAACATTCTGACTTAGACATTTATACTGTTATTGTCTAATGTTTTTTTTTTTATGTGTGTCTCTTTGAAGACTTAACAAGCCGAACTGTTGGGACCTATGACCCAAGTTGCCAGTGTTATCGAGGAGATTCAGTGGGATGGAGGAGTTTCATAAAACACTACGACTTGCGCAGACGGAATTACCTGAAAAATGATGACCTCATTATCTTTGTTGACTTTGAGGGTACATTACACTGACTGTAACATTCTGACTTAGACATTTATACTGTTATTGTCTAATGTTTTTTTTTTTTATGTGTGTCTCTTTGAAGACTTAACAAGCCTGATAAACAGTGAAGTTCCAGTTGCACCAAAGGTTTGAGGCCAATAAGTCTGTGCTCAGTTATGGTAAATATGGCAGTTTTATTCTTATTGAATAAAAGGACTCACATAATTAAGTACTTGTTGGTTTAACTACCACACCTTTTGATCTACCAATAATTAATTAGGAAACATCACTTGTTTGATAAATGAGTATGATACATTTTTGAAATCATATGAGATAATTGTATTTTTTATCTCTTGAAACAGGTGTCAAATTCTGAAGTCTGAAGAGAGAAAGCTGTGTGCATTGTGGAGAACGTCATTTAAACCATTTTTAAAATGGAATTATGACAGTCATACTGTGACAAGTCTGTGTTTAATATAATCAATCTGTTTTTAAGCACTCTCAATAAAGCCTTAAATTACACTCTTTTGCCAAATTGTCATTTTAATGCAGCGAATAGTAAGGTTTTGTTACATATTGCACTGGCATCTGAAGTGATACACCTACATGCAGTTGAACCTTGTTTTCTCTGTGAACTTTAATGTTAATGACATGATAATATCTTAATCTTATCTGAAATCGCCCTGATATGATATAATTGTATTTACCTATGTTTCAGGGCTTAGGTTATACATATAAGCCTTTGTACTTTAAACAAAAACTGTGGTTTACCAAATCAGTTCCACTATATTAATTTAAATACAGAAACATGTTGTTATGGCTTCATTTACATAAATGTATTATTTTCATTACACATTTTCATTTACATTTCAAGCACAATTCCTAATATTCCAATTTTTATTATAGCCTATTAAATACAACATTGCTGCTCAAATACACAGAAAAAAATGTTTCATTCATCCAATTAAAAAATTTTAGGGTAATGATTCACATCTATATTTTTTAACTTGAGCCAATGAAAAATAAATAACTTGCCCTAAGGGGGCAACATTTTCTAACATTTATTTCAGTGTATGGACTAATTAAGTTTAAATTATACCTTGTGCTTCGTTGCTCATCAAATGATATGATTGACTCTTTTGTAACATTGTAACCCTAACCATTCTGACTGATTTAACTCCTGATACTGTTGACATAAAGAGGGATACAGATAAAAAAGATAAAGATAGAGAAGAGCTAAAAAAGATAAAGAAGAGCTGATGCATGCAGTATACAGACACATCACTATACACATGACAGGCCAGTAACTAACACCATCCACGTGTGTCACTTCACCTGGTAATTGTCTCTAGTTTTCAGATCAAAGTTCCACTCCAGTTCTGACTTTATTGATATGTTTGTATAAGTGCGTTAAACCCTTTTCTCGTCTCTCGGAGTTAACATGGACTCCGTGTGGAGAATCATTCCCTTCATAGTACTTCTCATGCTCAAGGTATTTCAAACTTCATTAATTAATGATCTATTTTAAATGAAAAACAGATGAACTGTGATTGAACAGATTGAACTATGGTAAAGCAAACACATATGAATCTAATCTATAATCACTCTACCTTGCAGGCGCATGCCCTTCCAACTCAGTATGGTACTACACTTTGGACATTTTAATGATCTTGTTAATTTAAATGTTATCTATAGTATTTGTAGAGACTCTTACAGATATTTATGCTTTATTAAATGTTAGGTGAGGATGCAGATGCAGGTGAATTACGGGAGGACATTCTTGAAATCAATTTAGGTCAGTAAAAATGTATTTGCATACTAAAAGTAGCAAAGCCAACAGTTTGCCTTAAACTATATATGCTTTACATAAGTATACTCTATGTATTAAAATCCATATTATACATTGTATTTGTCAGTTCAATAAGATAAGATTTTATACATTCAGATTTCCAAAGAGATTTGTTTGAGGGAGATATTGCTGGAGATGTAAGTCTTTCCTTTCAAAACAAAAATCCATTGTTCAAATCTCTACTGCCTTTTGTTTTTATTTTATCATATTTACTATTCAGTCTCATCGTCACTATTTTGATCATTCCTAAAATGAATTCTTATCTCCCAGCCACGCAGAAATGCAATATTAGATGAAAAAGCAAGATGGGAGTTTCCCATTCCATACATCCTTACAGATAGTTTGGGTGAGATTCTTTTCTATTGCAGCAAATGCCAAATCAACAAACTGATTTCCAAGATGAGAAAATTCATAAAGCTTCACTTGTTTAGATCTTAATGCAAAAGGAGTGATCCTTCAAGCATTTGAAATGTATCGTCTTAAGTCTTGTGTGGACTTTAAGCCCTATGAAGGAGAGAGCACCTACATTTCTTTCACAAAGCTGGATGGGTAAGTAAAATTCAGCCTTTCTGATATGTCATGGAAGTTGGAGTGTCACATTTTTAATATTACATATTTCTTTGTTTTGTCATGGTTACAGATGTTGGTCATATGTCGGAGATTTAAAGACGGGGCAAAACGTCTCTATAGGGGACAGATGTGACACCAAGGCCATTGTAGAACATGAACTTCTTCATGCACTGGGTTTCTACCATGAGCAGTCTCGTTCAGACAGGGATGACTATGTTCAAATCTGGTGGGATCAGATCATTCCAGGTTATTTGTATCTATTATAATAAACTCTCTTTTCATATTTTGGTTGCTCATTGTAGCTCATGCAGATTTGTGAATTGCATTGCAAAATTATGGAGGAAGGATGAAAAATATGTAATGCCACTTTTCTATTGTCACCCACATTTGTGCAGGAAAGGAGCACAATTTCAATAAGTATGAGGATGATTTTATAACCGACTTAAACACGCCCTATGATTATGAGTCCATCATGCACTACAGGCCTCTGTCTTTCAACAAGGACCCTGATATTCCCACCATAACCACCACCATCCCTGCCTTCAATAACATAATAGGACAGCGCTTAGACTTCAGTGCTCTTGATCTGGAAAGACTGAATCGCATGTATGAATGCAGTAAGTTAGAAAATGCAACAACTACCTCTTACAAACATGAACATATTTTGTGCATGTCTGAAAAGCAAATAAAACAAACATTCCATACTTGCAGTATTGCCATATCGACTTGGTTTATTTCAGGTGCATCCCTCACTCTTCTGGATCAATGTGCCTTTGAGCAGATCAACATTTGTGGAATGATTCAGTATGATGAGGATGATGCTGACTGGGTCCAGACTTTGAGCTCTACAGATGTAAAAGACCACACACTTGGAGGACAATGCAGAGGTAAGGAGACACTTTGAGAATTTCAGTTGAAGTTACTTAAATTTAGTTTAAAGAATAAATCATTGTTAGGGCTTAACAATAAGGATTTGTAAAATATATATTGCATGAAGTTGGCACCAATAAATTCATAAACACATTTTTGATGGAAATTACCTTACATGGTGTAAAATATAACAGATTTTTCAAAATAATTTTCTAGTCTAACCGACATTTCCAAGACCATCACAAGTTACTCTTGCAATTTAAATTCTCTTCTGTTTTAGCAAACTAGTTAGCATTATTTTATTTTTATTTAAATAAGCACAATTTGACAACAATATACAATATATTAAAAGTCCAAATGTTTTTTAAAGCCATTAAAGCCATTTTGCATAAACAATATGATTCGTTGTTATTAGATGCAGGCTATTATATGAAATTTGACACTGCTAACAAAGATAAGGGACACAGTGCTTTGCTGGAGTCACGGATTCTTTACCCCAAGAGGAACCAGCAGTGTCTTGAGTTCTTCTACAGGATGAGTGGAGACCCTGGTGACCAGCTTATCATTTGGGTCAGAAGGGATGATGGGTCCGGAAATGTTCGCAAAGTCAGCAAAGTTTATACATTCACAGGTCAGTTATAATGCAACATATAGACCCTATGTAGCCCCGCCCCTTTTCAGCAGTCCTCCGCAAACATACAGTACAGTATACTTGCATATGGAGCTATATATCTTACTACCGTATAGGCCTAGGATCAGCTGCTTGATTGCATTATCCTCTGAAAATATAAACTATATAACAACGCCCAGCTCTAATCTGCTGAATGTGACTGTAAGGCATGAAGATAATCATGATTTTCTGTAAAGCTGCTTTGAACAATGTGTACTATGAGAGGTACTATATAAATACATTTGACTTAACTATTGACTGCTGACGAACGACTCAAAATATCTCTTCTGATATCACCAACGGAATATAGACACTATGTATTATATATTGAATACTGTGCGTCTTTTTGATTTCTTCAGGGGATGGGGACGAGTCATGGAAAATTGCACACGTCACTCTAAATGTTGAGGAAAAGTTCCGGTATTTTTTCCAGGGTATTGTTGGCTCCAACAAAACATCAGGAGGGATCTTTGTGGATGACATTACTCTGACTGAAACATTGTGCCCAAATGCTGTCTGGAGGATCCAGAACTTCACCAACCTCCTTAAATCTGTCCCACATGGTGAAAGAGTTCAGAGTTCCCGTTTTTACCACTCTGAGGGTTACGCTTATGGAATTAATGTTTATCCAAATGGCAGGAAAAACTCATCCGAAGACTTTGTTGGAATCACATTTCACCTCTTTACTGGTGAGAATGATGCAGTATTAGAATGGCCTGCAGAGAATCGGCAAGTCACTGTATCGGTTATGGACCAAAATCCAGACACAACACTTCAAATGTCTAACAGCAGAAGCTTCACCACTGGTGCGTCTATCGATCTATCTATCTATCTATCTATCTGTCTATCTATCTATCTATCTATCTATCTGTCTATCTATCTATCTATCTATCTATCCCTCCGTTATATATTCCACTTTGATATCACTTTGCAGGACTTAAGGATTTATGATTTTTGAATGATTTAATGAAACCCATTGAACCACTCACTTAGATGCTGACTCGCGGTGGAGTAAACCATCTTCATTTGAACAATGGGATGAAAGTTGCTTTTGCTACAGAGGTCCAGAGTTTGGTTGGGGCACATTCATCTCGCACGATCAGCTCCGCAGGAGAGACTTCCTCAAGAACGACGACCTGATCATCACTGTTAATTTTGATGGTGAGAATCTTCTTTAATGGAGATGTCAGAAAA